TCTGACAGCAACGGGCCTTCTCTGTCATCCTGGAAAATAAACACAAGCCTATCAGCGTTTGTGTGGGCGGCTTCACACCGCGGGGCCACGCGAAACGCACAGGTACTCCTGGCCGAATAAAGCTTGGCGCTGAAGACGTGGCGTAAGTTTAGGTGATCATCGGATTCCACTATGAGCAGTAAAGCTAAGTTCAGAAGAGCACTTAAAATATGTGGTTAACAGGTAATGCCGAGAAACGTTGTCAACTTATTCATAGGCCCGCATACGGAACAAAGGATCCACGGCCCTTTTGTTACGATTCGCTATTATAGCTTTAAGCGTTTCGGCCTTATCGCCTGGGAATCGTGGGAGTCAACACGGTATTTAACCCCCTACACCGAAAAATAGAATATCAATCGGCGCTGGAATCTGTTAGTAACAACTTTACTGGCGTAAGAGCTAGATGCTTAGATGTACGGGCTAAAACTACCTGAATTATACGCTAGAGGTTTGTTAGAATTACGACGTACGGGGGGCTAAGAATCTCTCGGCTCGGAGTGGAGGAGGAATACGAGATATGATTTAACTGATGGCTTACAATATTATTAAGATGCTTACACAGGGACAGGTTCCGTTCAGGTGGCGGTGCCCACGCTGTTTTCGAAAAAACGGTTTATTGCACGCTTTGTAGGGCCTTGTCGGGCCATGAACGGCGATAAAAGTGGGCGCTTTCGTTTTTGGCTGTGGGCGGCTGACCAGGAATAGCGCAAACAAAGGAGCGAAGGTACGTCTATAGTAGGCCCCTGAGGGGACGTTAAGCCGCTATACTGGCGGCCAACAATGGCGCCGACGTCGAAAATAAGTGCTGGAAAAATCGTTGAGATAAAGGACCATCGACTACCCTTATATATCGAAGTTGCTAGCCACCTAAACAGTTTTTTTCGATTTTTTGGCGTTGGTGGGACGCATTTGTGTCGGCGAGTTTGTGACCGGGAGTATTCGTCTACCTCTTCGTAGAAGACGATGATAGTAACGACGAACGTAGGCAGGCCCGCGCCGGGCAGGCGACAGCAAAGCCTTGTGGCAGATGCCTGCCGCTCCCGTTTCCTCTTTGCATGGAATTTTCATCGCATGTTACTTTTATCTTTTGGATATTAATGAAATAGGGGGTCCCTATGGCGAGGCACTGTAGACTTCTATGGAAAGACTGTCGGGCACAACCCAACGCACACACCCAAAAAAGTCGAAAAAGAAGATTTTTATGCTGAAAAGATTGTTTACAGGGTAAAGCGATGGCCGGCGAATGCAATGATTTTGGGGTTCACAGCTCTATCTCTTGCGTGCGCGGCACCATAAACTTGGCGGTGCCTGGGTAGCGGTTTACATATACTTTATTTATTTAGTTATTTTATATTAATTTATTTTTTAATATATTATTTTAATTGGTGTAGCAAACGAATTCATTGGGTGAAGCATGTCACTCCATATTAGCGATAAATGGCACCGTGGCTACAAATAAGTTCCATATTCGTGATTCGGGCATGGTCTGACCTATAAAGGTCAACTTTCAATTACGGTCTTGCTTAATGGTATGTAAAACCTGTAATAATTGAATAGCACTGATTCATGGAGTGTTCCCATTTGAAATGTGCCCATAAATGGCAGTTATCGAAACGCACTACGGTCAAGCACAGGCATATTGAACGCGATGAAACAGCAAAACATCAAAAAATGCAAAAGACTGCGCTTGACTTGCCGAGGGGCAAGTCGAACCCATCCAAGCCGTGGTCGACGCCAAACTGTCCGCTTAAGACTCTCTTTCGCCGGCCTAGGTCTGGCACTAAAGGCCATGCCGCTCCTCGTTGCTCAAACATTCCTGCCGATCGTTGAATGAAAACGCATGTCCATTGAAGGCCGTTTCTCTGTGTCTGATCACTTGTGCCACAAGTAAGACGCCCACCACCCGCCGACTACTTTTCTCTTCGAATCCCGATAGTACGCGGTTTATCAAGGGTACGCCTCCAGTCAGGCAAGTGGTGCAAAGTTTCAAGGCGGTTTATCAAAAAAATAAGAGCGCTCGTTAGAGGCCTGGCAAAACACTCAGTTCTCATAGGTTTCTTTTTCCGCCTCGTAACGTTTTTCTGGCGTTTCGCCTTTGAAGTCGTCATCAAGCGCAAAAATTAACCGCCGCAGCTTTATGGTTTACATGGCATATGCCTAATCAGAGTGCAAAAACCGTTTTCGGAAAAAAAGGGGCGGGTCACTGTCCCTGTAACGGACCCGGCCTGGTTTAGAGAATTGGACGTTGAAGCAGTTTTCCAAGTACTGTCTACTACAGTACAAGGGGAGGGAGTATCAGAATCTTAGTGCCCGCACGTGTTGCTAGCACTCCAGTTACAAAGGTCAGGTATTTAAGTATATAGAGATTGTACCAACTTCAATTCGCTCTTACGTTCGAATGTGTTCCCTTTGAAGTATGCTACTTTCAAGAGGCGGGTCGGTGATTTCATTTGAGGAGTTGTAGTTTCTGTCTGCATATTGGGAGCCTAAAGCACATAAGCGTTTTTACTCTTGAGCTTTTACTTTGTTTCTGTGTTGTCTTTTTTTTTATCCCTGTTGCCTTTAGATTGTCTCTGTTATTATGTTCTATAGTGCTATTGCAGGTCAATAAACTACAATAAATACTGGAGGCGTAGCTGAAGGGAGGGGAATTCTCGGCTGCGCCTGCCTATCTCCTCCCTAAGAAGGCTTAGAGCGCAGACGACCAGAGTCGCCGAGGGACAGCCCTGCAGAGAAGGCACAATTTCTAAGTCTAAGCCTCGATAACGGGAAAGAATTATGAAAGCGCTGGGCAAGTGTGACGCTGCCTGCCGCCATACCCAACACTACGTAAGTGCCAAAATATAATCGCATGTTCGCACTTAAATCGCCACACGCCTTTCAAACCGAAATCGTCCTTTTTCAGAACCAATTCCGTCCTATTTCAAACCGTGGGGATCGGAAATTCACCCTCACTCTTCATCAAGAACCACACTTATTAGGGCGGGCAATTCATCAACCAGATCACGCCAGACATCACTGCGAGCCCCGCCCCGACGATCCATGCCTGGAGCCGCGCCTACTTGTCAGCGCGACGATAGGTTCTCACCAATCTTCGTTTCAGCATAACCTTCTGCTTTTGCCCTGTTTGCCCACAAACGCCCGCGCTTAACTGAAAGCCCACCCGTGCATTTCAGCACATTGGCTCGGGACTCGTGGGTGAGCGCGCCGGCCCATTCTCTAAAAGGGTTTGTGGCACTGCCTAGACTCGACCACGGCCCAGCTGGCTGCTTCTGCGACATTTCGTGCATGGTTTTTTCGACAAAATACATTTTTGGACAATTTAGGGGCGTTGAAGGCCCCGCCGACTTTGTGAGATTGCTCCGCGCCACTTTGAATAAGCCGGTCCGCCTCACGCGCTTCTTTCAAGGAAATTGTGTCAGGAGTCTGGGGCAGTATCACAGAGACTTGGCTTGCATGTTAGTGGGTCTCGTACGTTCCACTCGGAGCAATAAAATCGGCGGCAAAGGTTGATATCCGAATTGGATCAGCAATACCCTAACATGCAAGCCAAGTCTCTATACTGCCGATCTGCACCATTTTTGAAAAGTGGGCGGAGCATCTCACAGTGGGCGGGGCTTCACGCAGCAACCCTAAAATGCAAAAATTTTGAAAAAACATCGAAATTCCGCGAAAAGCCAGTGGGCGTGGTCAGCCTAGAGTGCCAAACCCTTTAGAGAATGGGCGGAGTCGGCCATGTGTGAATGCACGGTGGTTTCCAGTCAAAGTGTTTGTGGGAAACAGCAAAAGCAGAAGTTATGAAACAAGATTTGAGAATCTATGTCCGCGCTGACAAGTGGGCGTGGCCGTCGGGGCGGGGCTCGCAGTGATGTCTGGCGTGATCTGGTTGATGAGTTGCCCGCCCTAATAAGTGTGGTTCTTGATGAAGAGTGAGGGTGAATTTGGTTTGAAAAGGACGAATTTGGTTTGAAAAAGGACGAATTTGGTTTGAAAAAGGACGAATTTGGTTTGAAAAAGGGCGAATTTAAAGTGAAAATGGTATATATAACTTATCGACCACTGGATTTTGTTGAAAGCCGTCGAGTAAGCGGTATGAGATGTTGGTGCACAACACATTGACCCAACGCCTTGTTCCGCGTCGGGTGAACCACGTGGGAGCTGGTTTGACCGCTACATTCCTCAGAAGCGCTGTGCTCTGTACTTTATGTTACTCGGGTGAAACGACTATGTTGGTGGTAGTACGCCACTTGTTTTGCTCCAGCGGCATTCCCTTAACGACTTCGGCCGTTCTCGACGTTAGAGACGGAGGGGGCACAAGTTAGGGGTCTCACATTCACGCGAACTGCGTCAGTGAAGTGCTCGGGTCGCACTTGTGCGCATTCTCAGTGCAGGTTTACACACTTGTCTATCGATCGGGTGCTCGAGGGGTATTTTTATTTTAGTCTCTTCTATCATCGCTAAAACTGGTTTTATGGAGCAGACATTCTTGTGTTGATACCCTGACAGTATTTCATTATCTGATTTGGGTGCGGCCGGCATCAAGATGGAGCGGGAATTTACAATAAATTCATAAGCGAACGGAACCTAGTTGAGAGCGTTGCTCATACTTTCGAGTTCCATCCTATATCTTACTTGTATTTCGTGAATATTTCGGTCAATATGTCGTAAGGTTTTTGGATGTAAGACAATCTTTTGATCGCTGAATAACTTCAAGCATTGCTGTGTGTCCTCACATTGAGAACGGTTTTTTGCTTTTTTCCCCCACAAAATTTTCCATATTTAATGTTAAACTCGTGAATCGTCCTCTAGAGTTTGACATTTTGGCGACTTCATTTTTGGTGCGTTTTTTCTGCGTGTTTCAAAAAGTTGGTTTCTGGCACCTTTGCATATATGAGAAGCACAGTATAGATGTGTTTCACCGTGAGAAAAAAAAACTATGATTATGCGGATTAAAGGTTTCTATGTCGTCTGTAGCTGTTGTGAATGGTCAGCCTCGTGATCCATCAACGGCTACTTCCAAAGAAAACAGCCAAACGCCAGGTCCTCAACCACCCATCACTCCACAAAGTCAAACTGGTTAGTTCTATTTTGTAGTTGTTTGGATATTGAGCTCTCCATTTTCATCATGGATTATTACCAACAGGGCCAACAGTGACCATCGCGCAGACATCTCAAGCACAAACTAGCAATCCACCTGCTCCTCAAACCAATTCACTTTCGCACAGGGATACCAGAAGGAGTGAAATATATCGGTAATCACCCCTTATTATTTTTTTTCTACAAAAATTTGCTTAAATTTATTGGTTTCGGGTTCCAGTCAGACTCTACGACTTTTCTCACCTTTTACAAGAAAGTTCAGGCTCTCTTTTTTGAACATTTGGATGCTTACTCTTAACTGTCCGCCTTTCTAATCCGCATCATTTGCGATTAAAATTTCCCTCGGAATTTACTTGCTCGGGGCTTTTTCACTGGCTAGTTTGATCTGGTAAGGCATCTGCTGGGCCCGGAATTTACTGTCGCAGGCGCCAAAGCTTCTTGGAACACCGAATACGCTCACACACGACCTCCCAGCTTTTTTCTTTGGGCGGTGATGTGCATCTTCAGCTGGTTGAAACAACTTACGACGAAAAACCTACTGCAGGAGAAAGTTCCATCGAAATTTGGCGTGAGTTCCTAGTAGTGGAGCAGCGAAGGATAACTAGGGTTCAGTAACGTTTTATGACACGATTCATCTTTTGAAGATTATTCTACCTAGATAGAATGCAAAGCTTAGTTTATCCAGTTATACAATTTTGAACAGTTTTTCTCATTATTTCTATTCAACATTATTGTTAGAGGAATTCCTGGGTTATGCCATTTTCATTTGAATCCTTTCTGTTACCTGGCTATGCGTAGGTCCGTTTTTGCGTTCTTTTTACGCTGTTTTTAGGCTTTTTTGTAGATACTCTGGTCCAAAGCCCCTGTTCGCTGCCGCCTGGGCAAATAAAAACGACAGAAGATTTCGCCTGGCGGTTGGTAGTATCGTAGAGCGTGAACAAGGCAATAGTGTAGGTGGTTTCAATGAACTTTCGGTTTGATCTTGTTATCCATAACTTGACGCGACATTTTGCTAGTACAGTATCCATTTAAGGTAACTCTTATTGAATTAGATGAAGCTCTCGGTTCATTAGTTGAAAGAGGCAGTTTCGGTCACGAATTTCCTCCGAATCAAATTGGATTCATACCTGACTTGGTAAGTTCTGAACATTACCGGCTTAGTGGTGTGTCATCATTGTCAGTTCAAACATTTTTTAGGAAAATAGATTTCCTGATTTGCTAGCTACAAGCGCAGATTTCCTCCGGTTATGGAGGATTCATCCGAACAATTCGGTTACTGAAGAAGCCGTTTTAAGCAGTGTAAGCTTTAGAACCTTTCATACCCTTTTTCTATTGATCGAAGAAGTTTGCGGCGCTAGCGCGGCTGGGGAGGGGGGTGGAGGTGCGAAGGAAATCGGCACTACTTCAGTGTCCTTCCTTCAATCCAGGCTTGTGCTCAGTGGAGACTATGTTTTCTGTGCAAGAGTATAACTCGAGACTGTTGCTTAGGGAAAGGAGATAGAGGGGCAGCCGTGTGCTCATCACCCCCTCCCCCTCCAATATGTTGGCGCCAGTACCGAATCCTCTCCCACTATTTGTTTTCAGAATAAGTCCTCACAATTCACTGCTCCTCTCACCAATTTCGACTGGAATGAGGTCGAGCCAAGACTGATTGGTACATCAAGTATAGACACCACTTGTACAATCTACGATGTTGAGGTCAGTTGATATCTGTAGACGTTCAACAAGTAGTAGTATCGCTCTTTCTGTTATTTTTTTCAGGCACAACAAGCGGTTGGTTTAATCCGTCCGATTTCATTTAGTGTGAAAACACAGCTGATTGCTCACGATAAACCTGTGCACGATATAGCATTCAGTCGGATTTTCAATGGCAAGGATAACTTCGCAACAGTCGGTACGATCCAACCTAAAAGCGTGTAAATTTAAATCAAAGGGCAGTGCCAAAGTTTTCAAGTTAGATGCAGCATAAAACGTTATTATCATGGTGAAAGTTTTCTGGCGTACCAAACAGTAGTGAGAGGGAAAGACATTCTGTTGGTTTTTATCCACATGTTGGTCTTTTCAAGAAAACCTGTAAACTTTTCGTAAAGCTTTACTGACTGAGACGATAGAGGGCGCGTTAGATCGCAGTAATGACACTTCCTTTGTTTCCATGATCGGCTAGAAACACTGTGGCTATATTTCGATAAGTGTATATGAAGTACTTATCTAATGACACAATTTATTTTCACTGTGAGAGATATTTCTAAATACAGGCGACCTAAGCTGGGAAAGATGAAATTTTTCAGTCCTCTAGCAAAATGCTTTCTTTCGCATCTTCGCGCCCGAGATATCGCTCACTATGAAGTATGAGTGTGAGAAAGACTAAAAGTGAAGCTCGTATTTTTCGTAGCTTTGCAACTGTTCTCGAACTTTTTTAAAAACACTTTTCGGGGGCTCGTACTCCCGGCAGTACACGTAAAAACTCCTTCGAACTTTTTTAAAAACACTTTCCGGGGGCTTGTACTCCCGGCAGTACACGTAAAAGCTCCTCTTTCGTCAAAGGTGCCAAATCCATGCGCAGCCGAGATGTGCGGTCCTTTATCTCTGTTCTCATTCAGTAGTATCTCTCTTCCTACAATTAGAATACTCGTCGAGTCCTGGGGCCCTAAATAAAAGTTGTTTTTTCCTTGATTGTTCCGCTGGTAAGTAAACCAGCAATTAGGACATCATATTTGGGTCCTATATTCTAAAAATTACAATCGCGACTCTGGATTTTATTACTTGCTATTGCATTTCTCCTTAGCCTTTTAATTACCATTCTATTTAATCATGTTCATGGTACAAAATGTGCATGCATGCAGAATGGCATTTTCAATCTGGCGAGACATTCAAAAAGTTAAAAATCTGCAAATTTTTTATGTACATGTGGCAGAATGGCCGATTACAAGGGCAATTGTTGTTGCTCGTCAATTACATCCTCTGAACGGTTACCACTTCCTTACTGTTCAGGTGCTGATGGAAGTGCTCGAATGTTTGACCTACGTCATTTGGAGCATTCAACTATAGTTTACGAGGATCCACTGAAGTTACCATTGATGAGAGTGGCGTGGAATAAACAGGAGCATTATCACCTTGCTACCTTTGCTCAGGATTCAACCGAGGCTCGTTGTGTCACTCGGAGCTTTTTGTTTCGTAGCATCACGTTGTCCAGTTACAGGTGATCATAATTGACATTCGGATGCCTTGCAGTCCACTAGCACGGCTCAAGAATCATAATGGAGCAGTTAACGGACTTGCCTGGGCTCCACATAGCGCCCACCACATTTGTACAGCTAGTTAGTTACCCGTCTATTTTGAATTTTTGAAAGATCTTTGCGGTGAAACTTCTGTACTCGCTCGTTCGCACATCACTTTCACTGTAAGCTGCTTTTTTCTGCAGGCGACGACGCACAGGCATTGATTTGGGATCTTCAAAACATGCCTCGACCAGTGGAAGATCCAATTTTGGCTTACTCTGCAGGCGGAGAGGTATCGAATCACATTTCTATTTTGCAAAATTATGATGATGCCTCATAATTTCCGAACAACCTGGTTGTTTTTGAATACTACTTTTTTGATTTGATTTTCTTTTCTTTTACTTGAACCTACTGTCAATAACATATTCCCAATGCGCGGGAGGCTGCTTGACGACTCTTACAGAAAATTAGACTTCTGGTCAAACAAAGAGCTTGGAATATCGTGTTCAAGGTCTTGTTAATCAGCGGAAGTCCATTCAAGAGAGGTCATGGCTTCAAGGTGGACGGAACTATACATTTGAGAACTTCTATTTTTTTTCCTGCATTTCTCTATAGGTTACTGGCGATGCGGTTGAGCTACTAGTGGAGTTCTGTATTTCCTGTTGGCAGGGGTTCCAGTGCGCGGCTCTTGTGGTTCTACATCAGCAACTCAGAAGGTCTATTTCTAGACTGAGCTGGTTTTCGGCTCTCAAAACACTCGGGTCGTTAGGACTACACCGTTACCGATTGTAAGGATCGCGATCGGGTAGCACCCACATCTCACTGACCATATCGGGATGCCAGTCTTAGGCGCTATGACAAATCAGGTTGAGCGTAACGATGTCAGATTATATTTGGAAGTGCGAACTCGGCTCCTGTGGAATCGAAATTCCAAATTTCAGATCTTGCCTAGATTACAGGACCTGCCGCACTGCAACTCTAGAACCGACCGTCCTGTCACACTGAATTTGCTCTATGAACGGCCAAAGTACGAACATGGGTTTTCAACATCAGGGCGTAGACAATAGACATCATCGGTGGCTTTGGAATATCACATTCAACTAAAAGATGCCATTGCTGAATAATTGGTTATACTTGTGTAGTTATGCAGTATACAGGGGGGGGGGGGCAAAAAAAAGTCACTTCGACCGAGTCACATATCAGCAAAGTTTTCGCTGCCCAGAGAGAGTGGATACGAGTACCAGGGCGGAAGATACCCAAGATGTTCCTCGATAAGCAGGAGCTGGCTCTCGCCCATCACCTTCATGTACACCAAAATATGAAGTCATCTCCAGTCGCAGCCTGACTGGAGAAGACCTTTGGAATTCATGTCACCTCCAAACAGCTGCGAAACTTCTAGTATGGAGTCACCCATGGATAGCTACCTGGAGACCAGTACTCTCGATCTGGATGACCTCCAACATCGAGCAGCTCCGACGTCGCCACGGTCTAGGACATCATCTTCACCGCAGTCGCCAAGGCGCGGGTTGATGGTATGGACCGGACGTACCTGGAATGGAAAGACCAATATTTTCTTCGTGGACCCCGGACTGAAGGTGAGCGCTGGCGGTTACATCGAGCAACTCGAGAAGAATATCCTGTCGTCGCCCGTACCTTCTTGGAAACTTTGTACTGCTACAGCATTGGGTGCCACCACATGGAATCGAAGGGCGTTGGAGAAACTCTCGCCTACTTGGAATGGAAGGGGGCTGAGTACCTAAAGAAGATGGAATATCCAAGTAGGTCACCTGACCTGAATCCCCTCAATTACCCGGTTCGGGCGGAGTTCAATAGGGTGGTCTACGGTGGCGGAGAAATCGACTATCTCGCTGATCTCAGGCACCACATCGCGGTCGCGTGCCAGAATCTCTCGATGGCGCTCGTCCAGAAGGCTGTGGCGGAGTGTCATGATAGTATTTAATATGCTCTTTAATATGGTGGTAAAAATGTCCGATCATTCAATAAAAAGTAACTTATAGCGCCTCGAAAGTCAATGAAGAAAAGTGACTTTTTTTGCATCCCCCCTTTATTTACATGGTGCTATACAGTAACAAATAGTCGAAACCAAATTAAGCATTTATTAAGCAAAGAATAATATGGGAGAGCTCAGTCACAGAAAAGAACCCGAATCGCATTCCTTCCCAGAAAATTGTGTCGTAGTTGGCTGTTTACATGCCAAGTCAACAAAACTCATTATTTCAGGTCAATCAGGTCCACTGGGGTCCAGCACACAACAATTGGATTTGCATTTGTTTTAACAAGTCGTTGGAGATTCTTCGAGTTGATTAGGCAACATGCCATTTATTACGAGTACTTTGTTAAATTACATTTTGGGCCGTTCGATCTCTCTGTTGCTTGTTGAGGGCTCTTTTGGCAAAGTATTTAGGATTAAAGATGATGATTGTACTTCATAGGAAAGACTTGCTTTTCCGCAAGTGTGGTTCCCGATATTCCCATCGATTGCAGATGGCATAAGGTATGACCGCTCTCACAGAATGTATCTCATTTCAGATTGTTGTCACTGTTTTACTCTACTGCCTGTTGAGAATAAATATTGTGTATATTTTGTGATGATTTTTTGATGTCATGTGGTTTGATCCCAGTTTATCGTTCACCCTTTTGTCCTAAGTGCCGTTATACTATGAGTTTTTAAAGTTTTGTTTAGCTAATTGAGGGTACTCGTATAGTCGAATGCGCAACAGAGGCACCCTCTAGAAACTTCAGATGCAAAGTGCTAGTGGAGTTTTACGCTTTGTTGCACCGAAGGAATTCCAGGTAATTCCAGTTACCACTTTGCTATAATTTATTGCTGATTTTATTTATTCCGAACAGTTTAGTTAGTGTTTAATTTACTCGTCCAGTTTGTGAAGGGTGTAACCCGAAAAGTACAATATGATGATTATTATGACGTTTGATTAGTCCAAAGTTGGATTCTTCCTCTGGTTTACAGAAATCCAATTCTATGGTAACGTCACTGTCGCTCCGATTCTCATCCCTTCCTTGATGGTATTGCGGGGGCAGCTAGGCTAGCTAGCCTGCTTGGTTCTTTTCCGTTGACTGTTTCCATTACCTCATGTCTTCCGAAGTAGTTCATTAGACCGCTTCCGTGCGCTGTAGCGGTTGGGGCATTTTATGCTGTAGGTTTGGTTTCAACTGGAGCCTTCATGGAGCTTGTTGTATTCACAGACGTTCTTTTTTGTCCTCCCTTTTCGTCGTGATTGTGACCTTCATGTGTACTTATTGATGGAGCGACGGACCCTGTTGTGTGGCCAGTGAATTCTTAAAAGTCTTCATTCTGCGTTTAAGGTCTAGTGGACATTTTGTGCATTCTGACCTCTTTATGATGAGATGGGTCACACCATCCAGTGTTGTTCTGCTGCTAGATTTAGGCAAAGGTCCTCCCATGGCCCACAAAAAAAATTCTTCCACATATAGCTGCACCAAAACCCCGTATACGAGAAAAGAAGGGTTCGGTGGCTTGCAAATGAGCTTTGAATACTAAAAACCACGGAAGTTTACAGATCCCTCGAAGATGATGCAAGGTGCGGCAGAAATCAACTAAATTACCTCGTTTCTGACTTCACGAGAAACTCTTAGATCACTCATGAGTCATTCAGAGGAAATTTTACAAATTTTGGCAGCAATTTTGAGTTCAGGGTATCCAGATGGGTACAAAAGTGGTCCGGATTGACCTTTTGCCTTCCCTGGTCAGTTCGAAGACGCACTGCAGTGACAGCAGTTTTCCCTAGTTGTTCGTTCACTGAATCATCGCTTTGTGAACTGTCCGCAGTGCGTTGAGAGCTCCTTTCTCCACTATCGTTAACTTTCGGCTTAGGAGCTCTTTGGAGCATGCTTGGGCTACCTTGTCGAACCGGGCTACCTATGAGGAGGTTTTACCATAAACGGCCAAAGAAGCGGTTTCTTGTGAGAGCCAAGAAGTTACCCAACAAGTGGGTCAAGAAAAGCCTGCCTTTGGTCTGAGCAGTTACGATCATTTTTCGCAGTTGCTGGTTTATATCGCTTGTCTACTAACTTACGAACCACTAGCTTGATGGGTTGGTAAATATGTCGGTCCGCAAAATGCTTCGCGGATTCGGTATTGGAAGTCGCAGAAGAAATAACGCTGAAAAATTCTGAATTAGTAGTCTATATGTTGTGCTGTGTTGCGCTGTCAACCCGGTGATGTTGTTTCTGTTAACACCCTCTGTTTACTATGGGGGATAACTTATCAGCAGGTATGCATTCACAGCCAAAGAGAAGCTCTGTGGAACACATCTGCGACAATTTCGGACTCAAGAGATACAACGGGGTTGTCGCTAAGCTACCAAAACAGGGAGAAGGTCACGACCACGATTGAGCAGTCCCTTTGGAATTTCTTATCTAAAAAATACAGTGTGACTTTTTATTTTCAACAAATTGATCTTTGAAAAATGACGTGGTGTTCTACCAGCTGTCTAGCTCCAGACATCAGTGCGAGGTTTTTCGTCGCATCCCCTTGTGTCCCTTGAAAATGCAATGGCGGGGGCAGTAGCATGTGTTCAACAAGTATCATCTGACCTTCATCAAGCTGCACGCTCTAAAACCATGGACTTCTTTATTCCCTAACTCAATGAATTTAAGCGGTTAGTTAAATTACTGTGTTTGTCATAACTATAATTCCATACTAAAAGCTATTATTGAGATTTATCATGACTTTTTGGAAGTTTGACAATTTCATGGGAGGCTTCAAACTAATTTTCTTCATGAAAAGTTGCCATTGGGCGCAAAAAATCATCGTTTTCCTGTGTTCATTGAATTTCTCAGAAAATGCACTATGATCGGTTCAAACGCAGTCATTTTTTGTAATTCAGAATTTATACTCGCGTTCGTAATGTATATTACGCAGTGGATATTTGTGTAGAAGCCTAGTTGAGTTTGACACACTATATTGCACAAAATCTTCATCATATGAGACACTTCATAATTTTGACTTGCACATTTTACTGTGCTCTTATTTTTCAGACTTCGAATCCGCTAGGTATGGATCATTCTCACCAGGGTCATGGCTATGCAATGCACCACAGTAATGATCATATGTTACCTCAAAGTAAGCCTGCTCCTGCTGTTTCATGTCTAAATCAATCTTTCACTCTTTATTTTCTCAGCTTCTTCAAATATGAACATGATGGTTGGTGGTTATGGAATGCAACCACAAACACAACAGCCTTATTTAACACCGCAGCAGCCAACTCCTCAACTAATGCAGACCGACGTTTACGACGTATATTTGGAATTGTTTATTTAATATCCCCTTATCGTGTCTACTCACACTAACATTACAGGCTATGGACGCAGCTGGGCCTTCAAATCAAGATGCTGCTATGGGTTCGACTGCTAGGGAAGAAGATAAACGCAAGGTATGTTTTTCAACAAGTATGAAAGAGAAAAAAGCGCCCTGCTTCAGCAGTAGGTGTGCGGCGGCTCCGTGGGACTTCCATTCAGAGTAGTGGTTTTTGAATTCATATTCTGCTTACACAGTGGCATGTGGGGCTAGCGCACTTGCAAATGGGTATTTATCTCCTTCTGAAATTTCGTATCAACCGTACAACTTTGGTGGAATGTACTTATGAACCTTTCACGTGGTTGCGGCGCGGTTTACCAGTCCCTTGCTTCTGGCCTTGTTTTGTCGACGATAGTTTAGTTGAGCTCCCAGTGAACACCAATCGCGCCGTGAGGCGGTCATGGCCTCCAACTTGATCTTCCGACTATCTCCCTTGTTACGACGCATTTACCATCATCACGTCCTCATGGATGTCGGTGTGAAAAGCAAACTGTACAATTCCAGGAGTAGCAGACGACCTGTGTGGTCTAGAAAAATGAGTGCCTGGCTGTGGAGATTATATCTGAGAAACTCGGCGAAAGAACGATTGAACACATATAAGAGCCGTTGCTCATACTTGAAACACCGCGCGATTTGGCTTTCGGTCAAATTCGCCGCAACTTCTGGATTCTTTACTCACTTCCCTATCCCTATACTCGAACTTGCAAAACCCTCTTTCTAAAACCAGCATCCCTTTGCGTCCTTCTGGCCAATAAGAGGACCTTTTGGTTTGGTGCAACTGTTTCTATTTATTAACGTATCTTGTGTACGCGTAGTATGATAGTTTCAATTAAACAGAAGTAGGGTTAATGCCTACAGCGTGATTAGTTGAGAGTTTTTCCCTGAATAGAGAAGTTTTCATTCTGGTTCTGATCATAATAGTTGTGAAGACTATGATTTTAGGAGATCTATGGCTATGACGCGCCGTACAACCTGTACGCAACTGCATGGAGTTGTGCTACAGATCCTCAGCGGCGGTTTCGATTAGCTGTCAGTAGCTTCATTGAGGAATACAGTAATAAGGTATATTCTTCCAGCTTCCGAATGAAGGACTTTGTTAGTATTACCAAACCACAAAACTAGTGAAGATTTTGCGTTTAGAGGATAGTGCGTGGCTGCTTCCGCACAAGCATTCAGTATAGTTACGTTCCAGGTTTCCATTGTACAACTAGATGAAAACGCCGGTGAGCTGGTTCTTAGGAGTACATTCGATCATCCCTATCCTGCCACGAAACTGATGTGGATCCCTGATTCGAAAGGAACCTATCCGGACTTGGTTGCTACGAGTGGCGACTATCTTAGGTTATGGAGGGTAAGGCGTTCGTTACACCATAAGTTAAACAAACTTTCGATTTACAAAATGAGAAATAGAGACATGAGTCAATTTTACTATTCAAGCTCGGGGCTGACAATAATGCAAAAATCGAGACTCTTCTGAATACCAACCGTACGGCTGAGTATTGTGCACCGTTGACTTCGTTCGACTGGAACGAGTTAGACCTCAATCTTATTGGCACAAGCAGTATCGATACGACCTGCACTGTGTGGCAGCTTGAGGTTGTTCCTTTTCAAACTTGTGTACTTTATTGTATGAAATGAAGATATTTAGACTGGACAAGCTATCGGGACTACTCGAGTCACGGTAGATGGTACAGTCCGTACGCAGCTTATTGCACACGATAAAGAGGTATTCGATATCTCGTTCAGTAGAGGAAATAGAGATATGTTTGCAAGCGTAGGTAAGTCGTTTGTTTCTAGTATAGTGTGTTTCTGTTGGCCTGTTTCTGTGTTTTCTGTGTATTTCTAGTGTTTAAAAGCTAGGCTGCTGAAAGCTAACGAATTTCGAAGTAGCCTCCCAACCCTTCTTTTATCGGCTTGGCTCAGGTTGACAGTATTGGAGCAGAGCATAGCTTCGTCTTTATTTGCCTCATTAAGACCGCCCTTCTCGGCCTCTTTTTTTGCATCATTTTCTTATAAATCCACTGAACAATAAGTGTGTCAAAGCTAGAGCGAAATAAAATGCGGTAAATCAGTGTCAAATGTCCCCTGTGATGCCAGCTAATGCGGTCATTTTCAGGTGCTGATGGTAGCGTCCGTCTGTTCGATCTCCGACATCTTGAGCACTCCACTATCATATATGAAGATCCACAACGCACTCCTCTACTGAGATTAGCATGGAATCGGAATGACCATAACTATATCGCGACTTTCGCGTGCGAAAGTAATGAGGTTAGTGATCAAACAACTGGAACGGTTGTATTGAACTTCTTCTACTACCTTTTATGCAATGTCCTAAGCATGGGAAAGCGATAGGAGTAGGCGATGAGTACCCTTGATTTGGCGTCGGGTAGTAACTAGGGCATGTCGCACGTTGGGTTCCCCAGCGAGGGGGCCATATTTGCCTACGAGAAAAATGTTCCCGGTTGATGACTTTTCGGAACTGTTTACCCTTTACTGCCCCAACCATCCAGAATTGAGCCAGTTTCTGACCGACTTTTTTCTCCGTGGACAGATTTGGCTCAAATGTTGTCTCCTGGGGTTTGACCTCCTGAATACGAATATGACACTCGCTTAGCCCGAAACCTCCTGGCGCCGGCGCCACAGGCGCGGTGATTTGGGTATTTTGGCGCCAGCACCTGTAGCGCGGGCGGCAGGAGGTTTCAGGCCGAGCGGATGTGATATTCGTGTTCAGGAGGTCAGATTACCTCTGAGAACAAGTTTTCAGCGAATTTGGTGATTTAATGTAATTTGGCGCGGGCACCAGGAGGTTTCGTGCCTAGCAGATATGATATTCATGTTCAGGAGGTCAAACTACCCCAGGAGACAAATTTTCAGCCAATTCTGCCAACGCAGAAAAAAGTCGGTCAGAAACTGGCCTGTTTTCGGAAGATTGGGGCAGTAAAGGGTAAATAGTGCCGAATTTTCTAATTCTTTTTGTTTCAACAGTGATATTCCGCCTCCCTTCTCTCAACGGGCCTTCTCTTGGGGAGAGGTAGTAGGAGGTGTAGAATGAGGAGGAGGTTGGAATTTTTCCAATGGCAGGTCGTGCCGTGTTAGTACGTGGTGATCACGAGTAGCTTGCAAGCTTATGTAACCCTGTTATCTGGTGACTAGGAGCTCTTGTCGTAGTAATAGGGAATAGCAGCTAACACTGTCGCACGTTAAGCGTGAGTTATGGGGTCGAATCCCGCCTAGGATCAAAACTTTTGCCAGTAGCTCAGCGCTCTAGTGATGTCTTATTAATGCCAGTCGGTTCGGACATCGATCGAACATCGATCGAACAAATTCTGGGTTACATTAGTTGTACATTCTTCATCCTACTTGTCGTTTTCATCAGTAATTAGAAGCTTGAAAGTAAAAAGTGTCCCTGAATGTGTGACTCATTGAGATTATTAGTAACTGACTTACTGTTCGCCTGTTTTTTTATGACTTTCTTGTCCCGCCACCTCCCCCCCCCCTCCCCCCTCTCTCTCTGTCTCGCTTGACATCATTACATGCGTACAATGCATGTAGTCTTGTTAAGGCTTCAGCATTTTGACTGCACAACAAAGGCAACAGTCACCATCAGCCCCTATCAGCTGTTATCACTTCCTGTCACCACTCATTGATGTTTTCGTTCTATCCCTCATATCGTTTGATGAAGCTATCTTCCTACCGTTGCTGTGACGCGTGCTATGAATTTTCCGAATTTTCTTTTCTATAGCCTCCTATTGGATCTTATCGGCTGTGATAACGTCCCGTAACCCACCAAAGTGTTCCCGACCCCCCCTCTGTGCCACCTGATGAAACTGACTTCCTACACTTGATGTGGCCCGCGCTATGAATTTCCCGATTTTTCCCTTCTATAGCCTCTTATCGGATCTTATCAGCTGTGATAACGTTCTGTCACACACCGATAGTGTTCCCATCCCTTCCCATATCATCTTTTGAAATTGACTTCCTACCGTTGCTGCGACGCGTGCTATGAATTTTCCGAATTTTCTTTTCTATAGCCTCCTATTGGATCTTATCGGCTGTGATAACGTCCCGTAACCCACCAAAGTGTTCCCGACCCACCCTCTGTGCCACCTGATGAAACTGACTTCCTACACTTGATGTGGCCCGCGCTA